TTTCACACAACATACGAAATTCAGACTTTTAAAACATCCTCCTGCCTGTTGCCACAAGGGGCCTTTCCAGTATCAGCATTGCTATTATAGATTTCAAAAACAACAGCCGCAACAAAGAATCACTACCATAAAAACAGGTCTTATTCTAAGACACGACCTTTATTCATTTTTTTTACTTTTTTTTTTATTTGGCAAAATCCTTTTGGCCTGAAATTCTAAATCCTGGTTGTCCCCAGAGATTTATTTTTTGAAAACTCCAAGAAATAGAACTATTTTAATTAACTCTTCTTTATTTCCCATCTTGAGCTCTACATGAGCAGATTCAGGACAATCATTACTCAAATACAATTAATTGATTAATCATCATCTCTCTTCCCTTCTCCCACCCATCTTCCACCACCTCTCACTTTTCTGAAAGGCAAATCTGTGCAAGCTGCCGCCTATATTGGGCTAGAGTGAGTGTCTCATATTCCAGCTTCTGGAAACTCTTCTCCCAGACATGCTTCTCTTACATCAGGAATTAGTATACCTCCCCAAGCTCTCAACTGTGACAGCAGGGAGCACTATTCCACAGGCTTTTATATTCTGGGGAAAATAAGGCATAACAGCAGATAGCATTCTCTTTCTGCAGGCTACACCCTAGCCTAGAGACACAGTCTGCTAAGTGACCTCAGAAAGCCACTTCCGCCAGGCACGGTGGCTCACGCCTGTAATCCCAGCACTTTGGGAGGCCGAGGTGGGTGGATCACGAGGTCAAGAGATCGAGACCATCCTGGTCAATATGGTGAAACCCCGTCTCTAATAAAAAAAAAAAAAAAAAAAAATTGAAAGCCACTTCCTACTCTATCTAGGACTGTGAGCCTGTGTTTAATGACCTGCATTGGAAACTCAATCACACCAGGAAACATGATTTTTCCAGGCCTCCACAACAGTAGAGTCAACCTATCAACACTCAATAAAAATACCACTTGAGGCCAGGTGTAGTGGCTCATGCCTGTAATCCCAGCAGAGAGATTTGGGAGGCTGAGGCAGGCAGATCATCTGAGATCGGGAGTTCGAGACCAGCCTAACCAGCATGGTGAAACCCCGTCTCTACTAAAAATACAAAAATTAGCCAGGTGTGATGGTGGGTGCCTGTAATCCCAGCTACTTGGGAGGCTGAGGCAGGAGAATTGCTCGAACCCAGGAGACGGAGGTTGCAGTGAGCTGACACGGTGCCACTGCACTCCAGCCTGGACAACAGAGTGATACTCTGTCTCAAATATATCTATATATTCACACATATATATATCAGTTGAGGTGAATGAGGGTCGGCCCTCCCTGGGCAAATGTTGGGGAGGAGAGACCACTGAGGATCTTTTTGATGCCTTCCTTCTCCTTGTGTCAACTCTACCCTGAATTAAAACAGTTATCTCCAAAGTTAGGTGTGCCAGGCAATGCTGTGGAGTTTAAGAAGGAAATATTAAAGCTTCTCCTTAATCTTATTTTACTTAAAAATGAAGAAATTCCATTTTGCTAATATTTAATACACAGACTGACTTAGGGGCCTTCACCTAGTTTGCACGTCAGCCGGTCACAGGTCTCCAATGATCCTGAATGTCTGACCAAAGGAGGAGGATGCTGCCACCAGGCTACTAACGCACTGCGATATACTGCAGCTTACATGTGCAATGTAAACATGTGAATTCTCTTCCCCCAAGTAGCAGAAAACACAACCCTGTATTGAAATGGGGAAATTGACATGAAATTCTATTGACCACACAGGGCTCACTGGTTATCTCGTGGTAAAATACTTCAAAGATATTTTAACTTAAAGATGAGTTACATGTTTTATTTTGTTTTGTTTACAAAAGAATCTAAATTTGCTGACTTTTGCTGGGATGACAAATGGCTGCCAATGCTATACCACCTGATGGATATTTACAGAATAACAAGGGCTGAGCCCAGCCGAGGCCTCAGGGTCCCAAGTAGTCACATTCTAGGCAAGCAGACCCGCAGCACGAGCAGCAGAATAATAAGGGCATGATACTGTCCCATCAAAGCAGAGGCTATTATTTTACACAATTTGAAAGCCTAAACACTGTGGTAAGAAAATGTATGTTTGAGGTCGGGCGCAGTGGCTCACGCCTGTAAACCCAGCACTTTGAGAGGCCGACACAGGCAGATTACCTGAGGTCAGGAATTCGAGACCAGCCTGACCAATATGATGAAACCACGTCTCTACTGAAAATACAAAAGTTAGCCAGGTGTGGTGGCGCTTGCCTGTAATACCAGCTACTCAGGAGGCTGAGACAGGAGAATCCCTTGAACCCAGAAGGCGGAGGTTGCAGTGAGCCGAGATCACCCATTTCGCCACTACAGCCTGGGCAACAAGAACGAAACTCATCTCAAAAGAAAAAGAAAGAAAAATAAAAAAGAAAAAGGAAGGAAGGGAGGCAGGGAGGGTTGGAGGGAGGGGAAAGAAAAGAGGAAAGAAAAGAAAATGTATGTTTGAAGGAGCATTTTGAGAAATGGATGTTTGGAAATGTTTCCGTCTTCTGTTGCTGTAAAGATGAAAATATGTAACTCAGAGAATGCTTATTTTACACATTTGAAAAACATGGAAACAAAATTTTCTAACATGTTTTAATATTTTCCAAGAGGAGATGTGCAACCAGTCTTGAATCTATTGTTTAAAACATCAAAACATAATACCTTTCTATTAGGAAGTGCTGAATACAACTTGGAAGGGAACAATTACTGGCCAAGTTTCTACTTCTAAAAAATTTTAGACTAACTGAAGGATGGGGCAGAGCTATAGTACCATGATTTAGTGAGCTTAGACACCATAAGACGTGTGCAGTCACATGGGACCCACACTTCGAAGGGCCCCTCACTTACTTTAATGCTGTGCTGTCACCATCCTGACATTTTAAATAATTTTTTAACAAGGGTTCTACATTTCCACTTTGCACTGAACTTTCTAAATTATGTGACTGGTTAATGCAACTTTTCCATTTGAATCGACATATTTTTTGAGGCATCTTTTCAGCTAAAACAACCACTAAAATCAAGTATAACATAAAATTGGGCCAGGTACGGTGGCTCATGCCTGTAATCCCAGCATTTTGGGAGGCCAAGGCAGGTAGATGGCTTGAGCCCAGGAGTTCAAGACCAGCCTGACCAACATGGAAAAACCCAGTCGTTACAAAAGACACAAAACTTAGTCAGAATGGTGTGTGCCTGTAGTCCCAGCTACTTGGGAGACGGAGGTGGGAGGATTACCTGAGCCCAGCAGGTGGAGGTTGCAGTGAGCCAAGATAGCACCACTGCACTCCAGCCTGGGTGACAGAGTGAGACCCTGTCTCAAAAATAAAATAAAATAAAAAACTGAATTGTTAAAAATTCTAAACTAAATTTCTCAAAATTAATTATACACACAATTACATGTTCATATTTGTGTGTTATAAACATACAATCATAAAATAGAGAAAGCAAACTTATTTGGGGACTGTTAAAGAAAATTAAAAGTATTTTCATCATTGTTATTTTATCTTTTAGATTTCTTTTTTTGCATGTTTTAAAATATGCACAACAGGCTGGGCATGGTGGCTCACACCTGTAACCCTGGCACTTTGGGAGGCCAAGGCAGGCCGATCCCAAAGTCAGAAGATCGAGACCATCCTGGCCAACATGGTGAAACCCCATCTCTACTAAAAATACACAAATTAGCTGGGTGGGGTGGTGCATGCCCGTAATCCCAGCTACTTGGGAGGCTGAGGCAGGAGAATCACTTGAACCAGGGAGTCCGAGGTTGCAGTGAGCTGAGATGGCAACACTGCACTCTAGCCTGGCGACAGACTGAGACTCAAAAAAATAAAAATAAATGCACAACAGATATCAATATGTTAATACATGCATATAGTTTATAAGTAAATAAGCACATATGGCACTACGTTTTCAACGACTTGTCATTTATGGAAGTGCATGATCAAAAGAGTTTCTAAAACACTAATCTAGATACCCAATGATAACTCTGCTCTTTTGGAACCCAAGCTCCAAAATCACGCTCTCGTCCTGCTACACTTCCTATTCCTCAACAATACTTTGCAGAAGAAGGAGGCAATTTGGGTTTAGGGTCAAGGATTTGGAGTCAGGACTGGATTCAAATTCTGCTTCAAGACAGCTTGAAGCTAAGAGTTTGAGACCAGCTTGGGGAAAAAAAAAAAAAAAAATTGCCAGGCACGGTGGCGCTCGTCTGTAGTCCCAGCTACGCCCAAGGGGAGGCTGGAGCATCCCTTAAGCCCAGGAGTTCAAGGCCGACGTGAGCCACGATTGCACCACTGCACTCCAGCCTGGCGACAGCGTGAGACCTATGAGTAAGGGCCAGGCACTGCAAGATGCTACTTAAGCTGCACCGCAATGTCGTTTGCCCCAGGTGTTCGCGGTGAGGCTGGGACCTCTCAGAGCATTTTCTCTGTCCGCCTAAGGTGGCCTTTGCCCCCAATGACTGGATGGTGGCATTTCAGGCAGGGCAGTGACGTGAATCTTTTCAGTAACATCAGAGTGATACTGCTGTTATGACCTAAAAATTATCCTTAAAGTACACCACAGAAGGTAACTCGTACCAACTACTCCGAATAAGCTTGGGGAGTGGGTCAGGAGGCGCCGCTGAACCCTGGGGGGCTCAAGCCTGCAGGCACGACGGAGAGGGCTGAGGGTCTCCTGCATCTCTAGAGGGCAGCCTCGCACTTTCCTCTTCACCTGCCCGAACCTGACCACAGCCTCCTCCGGTCACGTCGCTTGCCTCCCCCTCCTCGCCTCGGGCGGGCAGTGCCAGGGCGGGGCTCCCACGGATCGCTCCCGGACCGCGGGCCCTCGCGCTCGGGGATGGGGCTGCCCTTCCTGGTCGCCCGGAGCCACGAGCACGCGTGGGGAAAGGGCCGGATCCCTTCGCCGGGTGTCCCGCCGGCGCGGGAAGGAGAAGACGCGCGCACCCCTGCTTTCTCCGAGGTCCTCACCTGGATGGTGTGGCCGCTGCCTGGGGCCGTGGGGCCCCCGACCAACTTGCAGTAGAGCTCGGGCCGGGGCCTCCCGTCGGCCAGGCCCCGTTCCCCGCAGGTGGCGGTGGCCCAAATCCTCGCCGCCTCGGCCAGGTTGAAGGAAGGCGGGTGCAGGCTGAGCCCGGCCGCGGCCCGGGGATCCCGAGCGGTCGCGCCCCAGGCTGGCAGCGCCCGCAGCGCCAGCAGCAGCGGCAGCAGCAGCGGCGTCGGCGGCAGCACTGGCCCCGGTGCCCGACCCCGAGCCCGTGAGGCCGCCGCCATCCCGCCGCGCAGGGTCCTCCGGCCCGCGCCGCCAGCAGAGGGGCTCGGGGGCACCGCCGCTCTCCGCCCGCGTTTCCCGGACCTGCAACACGAGGACTAGCGCAGCCCCGGGTGTGGGCGGCGCCCGGGCCGCGCCCCTTGCTCCACGCGCTGGGAGCCCGCGGCGTGGGGGCGGCCGCTCAGCTCGCAAACCTGCAGCGGCTGGAGCGGGCACCCGCCGGATCAGGAACCGACAGCGCTCAGCCGCGGGCCAGCAGACGTCGTCTCTCCGGCGCGAGGGGCGCTGCAAACTTCGCGGGCGGGGAATGGGAGAGGCGTTCCCCGGCTCCCACCCAGGCGGCCGGAGCGGGAGCCTGGGATCTTCGAACCCTTCCGGTGCCAGGACAGAAATTAATTAGATCGTTCTCCTCCTCTCCAGGTTCTCACTGCTCAGGCCAAAGCCAGAAAAGCCGCCTCTGACCTGAGAGGAAAGGAAGCTTGCAAACGAATTTGGATGAGAGCAGAGGAAACTGCCACTGCCTAAAGAGCTCACATCGAAGACATTTCGATTTCCCAGCCAAGTGTTGATCCCTCAACGGCTCAGCATTGTGCACCTAGGATCCCTGTGGCACTGCAGCCACATGCTGAGCCAAGGAATTGGGAGTGGTGGAACGTACATACTTAAAACACAGCCAATAATGCAAGTTGTAATTTGCCAACCTCGAAAGGAACCTTGAAGGAAATCCTTTAGATGCCTAATCTGCTGAATTTTGCAGATAAGCTGCTAAGAGAGATAGAGTGATGTAGGCCACCTGCCATGCTGACCTCAGAACAGAGGAGACCCCTCCTCAGGACTGAGGCTTTGTCTTATATGCAGAACATGCTACCAAAACAGAACCCACATATGCCCTCAAAGCAATTAGAGGAATGCAATATTTGTACAATAAAAATTGCAAAACTTCTTTGAAAAAAAAGTTAAAAGACCCAAATAAGTGGAAAAGCATCCCATGTTCATGGATTGGGAGACAATATTGGGAAGATGGCAATATTTCCTAAAGCAGCCTACAATTCAACACAGTGGATTTTGATAGGGATCATAATCCCAACCTTTCCCCCCCCCCACCCCGGAAATTGACAAGCTGATCCTAAAATTCACTTGGAAATGCCAGGGACCTAGAAAAGCCAAAACAATTCTGAAAAAGAATGAAGTTACTCATGCTTCCTGGTTTTAAAACTTAATACAAAACTACAGTAATCAAGAAAATGTGGTACCAGCATAAGGATAAACATAGATAAATGGAATAGAATTGATAGCTCAGAAATAAACCCCTACATTTATGATCATTGGATTTTCAACAGGGTGCCAAGACTATTTAATGGGAAAAGAATAATATTTTTAATAAATTCTGCTGGACAACTGGAGATCCCAAAAGAATCGAGTAGGAGCCCTCCACCTCATACTATATACAAAAATTAACTCAAAATGGATATCTCTAAATTTTACATTAAAAGCTATGAAGCTAAAACCATAAAACTCTTAGGAAAAAACATGGGAGTAAATCTTCATGACTTTGGATTAGCAATGCTGTCTTAGCTATTCGAAAGTGCAAGCAACAAAAGAAAAAAATTAATTGAGCCGGGTGTGGTGGCTCACACCTGTAATGTCAGCACTTTGGGAGGCCAAGGTGGGTGGATCTCCTGAGGTCAGGAGTTCAAGACCAGCCTGGCCAACGTGGTGAAACCCTAACTCTACTAAAAATGCAAAAGTTAGCCAGGCATTAGAAACTTATATCCAGAATAAACACTTACAACTCAACCATTTTTAAAAAGTAGTGGGAAAATATAAAAACGGTCGATAAGCATGACCATGGAAATATGCTCAACATCATTAGCCATCAGGAAAATGCAAGCCAAAACCACAATGAGATACTACTTCACACTCACCAGGATACTTATAATCAGAAAGATAGATGATAACAGGTATTTATGAGGATGTGGAGAAATCAGAACCCTCACAGATTACTGATGGGAATGTAAAATGGTGCAGACACTTTGGAAAACACTTTAGCAATTCCTGAAAAAGTTAAGTATAACATGACCATGTGATCTGGCAATTCCAATCCTAAGTACATACTCAAGAGAATTGAAAACATATATCCACACAAAACTTGTACATAAATGTTCATAACAGCATTATTCATAATAATCAGAAAATGAATACCACCCAATGTTCACCAACGGATGAATGAATAGACAAAATGTGGTGTATTCATACAATGGAATATCTGTCACATGTAAAAAGAAATGAAGTTCTGCTCCATACTTACAACATGGATGAACTCTGAAAACGTTATACTAGGTGAAAGAAGTCAGACACAAGAGAACACATATTGTATGGGGAGCAACTGCTGTTGGGTATGGGGTTTCTTTTAGGAGTGATAAAAATGTTCTGGAATTAGATAGTGGGATGGTTGTGCAACATCACTATCACATCATCAATTGTGTGATTATACTAAAAACCATGAATGGTGCACCTTATGAATTTATGGTATGTAAGTTATATCTTAAAGTGGTTATTAAGAATTTTTGCAGAACCGAAATATCTACTAAACTCTATAAGAAATGTGGCCAGGTGCAGTGGCTCACACCTGTAATCCCAGTACTTTGGGAGGCCAAGACAGATGGATTACCAGAGGTCAGGAGTTTGAGACCAGCCTGGTGAACATGGCAAAACTCCATCTCTAGTAAAAATATAAAAATTCGTTGGGCATGGTGGCACATGCCTATAATCCACTGCACTCTACCCTGGGTGACAAGAGTGAAACTCTTTCAAAAATAGAAAGAAAGAAAGAAAGAAAGAAAGAAATATATATGAATGTGCGTGTTTGTGTATGTGTATGTGTAAAAGCAGACAAAGAATTTTTTTTTTTTTGAAACAGGGTATCACTCTGTTGCCCAGGCTGGAGTGCAGTGGCACAATCATGGCTCACGGCAATGTCAACCTCTGGTGCTCAAGTGATCCTCCCATCTCAGCCTCCCAAGTAGCTGGGACTACAGGCACGAGCCACCAAGCCTGGATAATTTTCTTTATTATTATTATTATTTGTAGAGATGGGATTTTGCCATGCTGCCCAGGCCAGTCTTGAACTCCTGAGCTCAAGCAATCCACCTGTCTTGGCCTCCCAAAGTGCTGGGATTACAGGCATCAGCCACTGCTCCCGGCCAGAATTTTGGAAAGCTTTACAATAGGATGTTCAAGTGGATGGATAGGATGGAGAGAGGGGATATTTTTATTTTCTTCTTTTTGCTTGCCTATATTTTTTAATTTCTCCAATAATGAACCTATATTGCTTTGTCCTAATAAAATCTTTCAAAATATTCTATTAAATCAACTCAATGAGAACCCAGCTCATTAAATACTGACTCTAATAGTCCTGCCCCAAGTGATATGGTCCCACCTAAATTGATGAAAGAAGACTGATAAAAAGTAAGAAAGATTCTATATATTTTTTAAGTTATCCTAGACAAGATTATTTGAAGGAAAGCATTTAGCAAGTGGCTGAGATTCCAAAACTATTTTATTAGTATATAAAAGTGAAAAGCCTAAATTTAAAAAGCTGTTTTCTTCCCTGGCCAGTAACTCTTCGACACTGCCAAGTCCTTTTGCTGAGATGTTCTGATGCTATCAGAAACCTCGGGTAGCTACAACCATCCCTGGATTCAAATCAAGGCTTTGTCCTTACAGGGCTTCATATTTTGCTATAAATGGCAACATTTAACAGCATGAGATACAAATTTATTGTACTGTACAATGACAATATTTCTCTTTAATGTCCTTTATTACATTCACCAGTCAGAGGATAAGTGATATCATTGACTTCGTGTTGTCATTGCAGTTTAAAAATAACTTTGTGATGTCAAAGTACAATAAGTATATTTGCCCACTGAGAACAGCTATAAAGATGATCAAATAAAAGCTACATATCTAAGTTAATATTTGCTAGTAATCTCTCTAAAGATTAGGTATCTAAAACAAACCAGGAGACATCTACACACCACAGGCCTGGATACCAGAGAAATAAAGATGAGTAATAAGAATGAGGACACTTTGGTGGATGTGGGGAGGAAGACGGTCCAGAGTTTAAACAAAGGAATATTATAAGCAAGTGCTTTGAGACATTAAAGCAGCAAATATAAGCCACACATGTTTTTAAGGCTGTTATGTTTTTGTTTTTATTGTTGTTGTTATCGAGATAGGGTCTCACTCCATTGCCCAGGCTGGAGTGCAATGGTGCAATCTCAGCTCTCTGCAACCTCCACCTCCCCAGACTCAAGCGATCCTCTATCCTCAGCCTCCCAAGTTGCTGGTACTGTAGGTGCACGCCACCACACCCAGATAATTTTTTATATTTTTGGTAGAGACAGGGTTTCACCACACTACCCAGGCTGATCTCCAACTCTTGGACTCAAGCGATCCACCTGCCTTGGCCTCCTAAACTGCTGGGATTACAGGCATGAGCCACTGTATCTGGTGGGGCTGTCATGTTTTAATGTAGAAAGAGAATGCTTAAAGGAATTAAATGACTTGTCCATATTTTAAGAAAAATAGGAATAATCAGCGGGACCCAAGACATCTGACCCCCAGTTATGCTCCTAGGAGGACTCTGAGAGGACTAAAGGAACACCAGGGTGAGGCCCATCCGTGTCCCAAGCACAAGAGGTTTACTTTGCCCTAGAAGGGTGGGGAGAACATAAATGTATTGTTGGATGCAAATAAACCCAAACTAACACAAGTGAATTTGGGGTTTGGCCGACCCTCCAGTACTTCAGAAGTGATTCATGCATAGCCATATCCTTCAAATCTTAAGATGGAAATGGAACTTGCCATGTATGACATTGTTGAAGAGAATGTCCTTAGAGCCAAGAACCTAGACATGCATGGGTGATAAACTCAGTGTGTCTTACAAACTCCATAATGTCCCTTTAATACAGTGATTGACCTAACATTGTACTCATGGCTATTCTTCCTTCAGTCAAAACATAGATTTTTCTCCTCCTTTTCTACTCGATCCCCAATATGGCAGCTCTTCCTTTCTCTCCTCTCAAGTTCTCCTAGGAATATGAACTGAGATCAGAAACCCTGGGTCCTGCTCATTATTACCATAATTGCATGGTTAAACTACAACTTGCTACTGGCTTGGTTTCACTTAATAATCAATCAGGTTGCAGAAATTGACCTACGTCATCATCGTTTAACAGAGA